AATCGCCTCTTCAAGGGTGTTTGACTGCACCCGGAACAGCTGAGTGCGCGCGGGGCCCACTCGAAGGCTGTCCCATGAACACAGTCATCTTGATGTGTTTGTTGAGTGGGTTTCCCGCTAGGGGACGCTGTGCGTTAACGTATCTCTTGCACGTACTCGTGCAGCTCACGCCTCCCTTGCTTGCACGAGAGAAAGAGCGAGCGTTGGCGGTACTCATAGTTCGCCGGGAGGACGCGGCTCTGAGCTGTTCAAACAGCTGAGCCCAGGATGTGAAACATCCAGGGGATGTTGCCTCCCGTGTGTACACCCAACTCTAAGCACGGCCGCTAAGGTTGGAGAGTGCAAAAGCAACACGAAGTTGCTCGGTCGAGATCAGAGCCGCGTCCATCGCGAGCTCTACTTATCGGACCCAGAAGTGAAGGCTCTCGCCTTCCTTCTCTTCATACGGCTTAACCTTCAGCCGTATTGGCTTCGGGTGAGGTGGATTCGCTTCCACCGCCGGAGCCTGCCGGTTCTCCCGCACATGCGCGATGAGCCCCTGCTCGTAAGCGTCAAACGCATTGACGCGCTCGAGCTGCTCGGCCGGTGTTGACACCACCAGGCTCTGCAGGGCCTCCATCCCGAAGATACCTGCCATCTTCCGAACCAACTCGAACTGTGAGCCGTTCGGATGGAAAACGTTGTTCATATCCAAGGCAACAAACTTTAGAGAGGGTCAGGTAGTCTACCCGCTTTGGCGTGGATTGATTACGAGTGCTATCAAGTGTAACGGGGTCACACAGCATCTTGCACTAGAGAAAGTTGGCTTCCGAGAGTTTACAAAGTCTCAGTGAACGGCAGTTCACAGGTCCCTATTTACCTAAAGGGGGCGAGGTGACCAAATTAAGGTAGGCTGTAAGCTGAGTATATTTATAGGTAGGCTAAGCTTGAGTTAAATATAAAAACTATAAGTCACCTGTAGAAAAGCAATGTCATCAGCCAATGGTTGGCCTCGGACGACCTTGGTACCTTGCATAAGCGTCGTACTCAACGCCCATTCATTTGCAAAGAGCATGACATGAACTTCTTTCGACCGATCGAAGTACCTGAGGATGGGTGCATGTGAAACACTCGCCTTCAATTTCTCGACGGAGCGACGTGCCACAGAAATGCCACCTTCAGTGACAAAGTCTTCATCCTTCAGCTGGACAGCGCCGCACCGTAGACAGCAAAGTCTTGGATGATGCGGATGTAATAATTAACCACTCCAAGGAGCGACTGCATGCCCCGCTTGCTCGTTGAAAACGAAAGCTCGGTGATGCCCGCAAACTCACTGTGCAAATCCTGCCAGCAATCAGTTCAGCGTCGCAAGACAGCTGTCGAAATCCTCGCCACCAAAGCAAATATCATCATGTCGAGGAGTAGCCACTTGGTCTGTTTGCGGCACTAGTCCACAAACGACCGTCATCCAAACACGGGTACCAGCGATGATTCGGCTAACTCTCCAGTCGTAAACATGTCAGCGACGGGACTGTTGATGAGCTGTAATACTCCACCGGTGCTTCGCGTTCTGCCGCGAACTTCGTTTGGAGCGAACCATCGGTGCCTACTCCACGACGTTCCTTGGCCCGTTCTTCAGCTAAACGCATCGTGTCCGAGTATTCAAACCAACCGCCTTTAGGTTGAACAAATCCCCAGAGTGCGTTGTCGATCATACGCTGGTAGATCATCGGCGCGTTCCTTAGCCCGAATCGCATGCGTAACCACTCGAAGTGTCCTAGTGCACACACAAACGCCGATACTTTACGTGCTCACAAGGTCATCATGACGGCTCAGAAGCCGCGTGCAGCATCCAGCGAGCAAAACCATAGGTAGCACTCGAGATCAGTCAACAGATTGTCGACTAGCGGCATTGCATACTCCATGATTGCGGTCATGGCATTCACCAGCTCGTAATCAATGCAGAGCCGGATGTCCAGCCCGTTCTTTTTCATCACAATCACGATCAGCAATGCTCATGGACTGTTTGAAATGACGATCAATCCTGCTCTCAACAAAGTCTGTAGCAGCTCGTACAGGTGCCGAGAAATTGTAGCGGCACGCGTGGGGCACGCTGTTCGATTGGGGCATGCCCCTGCGTGTCGATATCGCATACTGCGCCGTAGGCAGGCATCGGCGGCGGTGCGTTACCACTAGCAATCATGATGTTCCCGTGGTCCTTAAGCGTTGGAGCTATACGCTCTCGGCGATCGGTCGACAGCTGGGGATCAGCAACATTGGGTGCATTGTAGTCTATCGTCGTTTTTGTTTCTTCGGTAAGGCCTGGCAGGAAGGCCAACCCCTTTGCGTAGTCTTCCAGACCGATGTTGTTAGCTGGGTGCTCGCAGAAATCACTTCTTGTGTCCTCCGTTGCTTTATTTCCTTCGGCTGTTAGCACGCGAGCAGCCGACATGAACGTTTCGTCCAAAGTCGCGACGGACTCTTCCCTCGACGCAGGTCGGCACCCGCTTCGATTTGAGCTCTCGGTACTGGGTCCATCCCCTTCTTCGCCTGGTTTCCATCTCTGGGCCGCCTGCCGAGTCTTTGTTCGCACTATTGAAGCGTAGGCAGCCGACATATTGGGCTGTTGACTTCTGTTCAGCTCCTCGGATGACCGTTGTCTTGACAGTCCGGCATTCGCTCCAATCTCGCAACGAATACTCGGTGCCGTGCTCACCACTTTCAGTACGACGTCTGCATATTCTGCACCAACCACCGATGATTCGTTCGCAAATTCGGCTGCGTGCAAGCCCGGGACAATATCGTCTAAACTGGTGTCTCCATCTGATCCAGTGCTGTTACTTGTCGATCCCGTTGTCACCCAGACTCGAAACGAACACTCGTTGGCGTATGTACAACATTTACGGAGCTCAGTCGCTCGTGTGTACGCGCTACCGAAGCTTCGTTTGCATTATTGCCTTCGCCGTGATCTGCCGTGTAAGGGTCCAAAGGAGTTTCAGAAAGTTGACCATCAGCCAAGTTCCCAGCTGTCACACCAAACGCCAGACAGGGCTCCGCTAGCTCACGTTCCTCCATGATCATTGCCCAGCGCTCTGCTCATGTCCGACGATAATCGGAGTCCATCTGCGAGAACTCGAAGGGCCTTGCTAGCACCCCACGGGGTTGAGGATAATCTGGTCGCTCGACTGCCGAAGGCTGAGTTGAGAGCCATTGTTCGTAGATCTTGCACTCCCGCTGAAACAGCTTGCGGTGTCTGCAGCCTTCATAGGCCAACACTTGACAATTTTGGTACTTCTTGGAGTCCAGACGCACATAGCCGTCACCTCGCGGCAACTCCCCATCTGGTATCCACATCGCAATCGAGTCGTGTGCTGGTAGGTACACCGTTTGGTCATATACATTGGTCACCCGAATACTTTGAGGCCGTCCACGTCAAAACCTCGCCACTGACGGGATTAACTTGTCCGTTCGACGAGCCCACAGTACGTGTTCTTCCAGCCTGATTTGACGCTTCGCTAGTCGATATTCCCGCCACTCGTGCGCCTGTATGTCCAAACGCTCAGGTGGCCCGGCGCTAACATGAGAGCCGTACGCTTCACTATCGATCATATTCTTGGTCTTACTCAGTGGAATTTGGCCTTCGTGCGGCAATTGCGCCGCGCCGTGAAACCGGTCCATCCGAATCCCAGCTGGGGTCATAACGTCGGTCCCGAGTACCACGTCGACGCCTGCTCTATGCGCCATGACCCACATCTCGAATTCGTACACCGGTTTTCTGAACGTGCGTAGGTGCCTTCAGCGGCTGCACAGCGCTCATGTTCGTTAGCCGCGGCGGGGTATCGGTCATTTTCGTCCAATGAGAAGTCACTATCCGTATTTTCGGGCTGAAAGTCGGTATACTCGTCTTGGACATCGTTAAAAGCGTTCTGATCTTCATTTGAATACTCGGTGCCCCCCTGGGCAGCTTCCCGATCCTCCAATTCAGCTAGTAGGTCACCCGCCGTGGCTTCAATGAGCGTCACTCTCGGTTTGTTGCGGTTGTCATCGTGGCGACGGTCATCACGTCGGTTGTTGCGGGCGTACGCGTCGTCGCGTCGTGCATCTCGACTCTTGGAGTGTCGATATTGTCACGCTTAGCCATTCGCTCCTTGCCCTTAAAAAAATCTTCAATGATCTCTTCGAGCTCGTGAATGTCGGTGACTCGAGTGTGGTAGAGACTCTCCGCCAACTTGTCATCATTGCACGCTGCCAGGTCCTGCTGTCCGTGTTATTTTGCGTCGCGGCTACTCTTCTCGAAGTGTAGGCGGGCGTTCCGAGCGTAGCCATTCAGTCTGTTTATGTAGTCGCACAGATGTTTGTTACGCTCCCGCTTTGCAGAGTAGTAACGGGACAGTGCCGGCTGCGTGAACTACGAGCAATAGTAGCGGATGAACGCATCACTCAGCAGCTTCCACTTGCGCTTCGTCTTCTTCGGAAATTAACGGAACCAATGAATGGCTTCGTCCCGGAGGCTTAGCTAAAATGGAATGTACCATTTGGCAGCATCTGCAGCGGGGCTGCCGTAGCTTTAGCGTCAGAGGAAGACGTTCGACTCAAAGAGTCACTAATACTAAGTTCCTTATCCAAAGGACACTTACAGCCCAAGACCAGGGCTCAAAGTTAACACCTTAACTTTTATGCTTCAAAACCAGAAGTGTTTTATTTACTATTATTGCGGCCAAGCCGCCTAGGGGTAAATGTATCTCTTTAACTATCTAGCATAGTTAAAGCTAATCAAATGCATAACGTGTGGCTTTCAGCCAACGTACTGAGAGACCTTGTTAACTCTCCAACTTATGTACTGAGAGTTTGTTAACTCTCCGGGTACTTCGTACCCCTGTGTGCTCCACACCATGTAACCCCGTTACACGCGATCTGTCCATCGTGGCCAGTTACCATCCCGAGAGCAGGAACTAGTACTTCGCGGAGGTGAGCCTGGAGCACGGGTGCTGGACAATGGGGACCTCGAGATCCTCGAAGACATGATCGTGTTGGTGGATGGCCAGACCCGAGCAACCTGGCCAATCCGCTCTAAGTCAGGCGCTAACATCCTGCCGGAGAGCATCGACCAGTGCAAGGGCTACAGCGCATTCGCGGTTTCTGCTGGACTCGCTGAACGTGGACCAGCCGGACGGAGGTGATGGATCTGATCTTGGCTCTGGAGTTAGTGCAAGAGGTGTGTGTAGTACCTGGTTCTTGTCCCTCCCTGTTACGTGCTGTCAGAGGCTGCTATGCTTGTGGCTTCGGATGAGAGCCATCTGAAGGATTACCTGAACAGCAACGCAGACAAGATGTCGCGCTCCCTCGCCGTGTCCAAGGTCGTCGTGAATGCTAGGGAGATCGAGTTCGACAGTTTGGTTAAGGACGGCGCCATATCCATCTACGCCACACGCCAAGCACGCCCGCGTACACTCTGGAGACGCCCAGTCCAGCAACTGTACGTGGGCACGATCAAGCAGCTAGCACCATCGCACAGGCGCTTAGCGTCACGGGCCCGTTTACATCGTACTAACACCACACCCAGGCAATGGCCCGGGCTAACGGCATCCTGCGCGCCTGTATCAACTACGTGGACGTCAAGGCGCCGTTCTCGTTTACGCGTCTGCATGGCGCTGGTCCGAGTATGGGTGTGGAGTTGGGTTCGACCGGTGAGATGGCCCGCTTCGGCACGGGCATGCACGAGGCGCATCTGACGCGCTGCCGTGTGCCAGCTTCAGGATGCCCAAGGATATGGTGCTGATCTCGCTCGGCAATCAGGACATCAAGCACGAGTTTGCGGAGGGAGCTCGGATCCTGCAGGAGCTGGTTTCGATGTGAAGCTGTGTCGCTGAATCAAATGCTGGCATGTAGTAGTTAAACTGAATGTTTGACTAGGCTTACATGTTTAGATATCTATTGACAATCAAACGCTGTAAGAAAAATATTTAGTTGTACTGTAATTAAGTAGCCCATTAGCGGCGGGGTGTCAAACCCGCAAGTGTACAACCTTCAAGCTGCAGTTTCATACTAGTATGTAATGCTACGATGGCGCTGAAGCCTTGGTATGCTCGCTACAGCGGTCCGTCACAAAGTGCAATTATCCAGCAAGTGCTCGTAACGTGCTAGATTTGTATTGCCCTTTATTCGATAAGCCGCAATGATTCCGGACAGTTCCGGAAATAAGTTGGAATGCTAAACACCTAGCCCTAGTGCGATAGGACTGGCTAAATCCATGGATTTTGGTTCATTTCTGTAGTCTCATTGGTGCGCTCAATTATTACCTTTCTAAGAGGGTTCGGGTCTCCGGACCGAAGGGACTTATCCTACAATATCCATCTTTCATCCTTGGACGTTTCGTCGATAAATACTAGCTGACCGGGGCCGCCGTAGAATGGTGACAAGCGAGCAGCGTACTCACGGCTCTCTCTTAGCAGACTTTTCCGTGCCCGTTTTGTCAGCACCTCCCTCGCCAACTTTAGATTGAAACGAAGCGCGCTACAAATAGTAGACGCTTATTGGTTAAGTATAGTGTCTGTAGTTCGTAACGAATCTCCTTAAAATAAAAGCACGAATGATCTTGAGCGCACTGACGGACAAGCGTACATACGTGCGAAGTCCAGCGCGAAATTCTAATACGTGGCTTGACCTTCAGCACATTCCCTGTCGTGCGAAAACGTCTAAACCCGCGCCCTAAAGATCGTGCAGATGCCTAGAACAGTGGCTACAGTAGCTGTTTTAACAGAGTAAACTTACGTCAGCACGATTGCTCTTCAACGCACGTATGTGGAGTAGGTCATCTTCATCTCCTCTGGGGACAGGAAAGTCTCGAATGGAATGTTGACTGTCAGTCATTCGGGCAATAGCGCTGTAATGGCAAGCCGACGGGTTAGGCGGAAATTTTAAATGATGGAGGCTTAATAAGACGTTAAATGTGTGTAATTTAAGGTAAAGTGTAGCGGCAGAGACGACTCGTGGGTATCACTTTAAAAATTGCATTGGGGCAATGTACTCTGCCGATTTCTGTTGGGGAGCAATTACGCTGCACTACGCATACAGCAGCAAGTTGGGTGCATCTTTGGAGTGTCTGGACGAACCGTTCGCCGTTAAAACAAGTGTTTCAAGTCAAGCGGTCACGTTTCTCGAGATAAGAGTGGGAAGAAGAAGACGTACAGCTCGCAATTATTAGCATTTGTAGGGCGGTACGTGAAGGACTATCCTTGTTTTTATATTAAAGAATTTCAGCGGCTCTGATTGTACCGGTCTGTCTCCATCAAGTATACTTCGGCTTCTAAAGTTCAATCTCGGACTAAGCAGGAAAATACTCGAACGGAGAGCGCGAGAAGCAGTTCCCTGGGAGATTCAAGCATCCAAGGCAAAGATGAATTGGTGGTACAGGTATCCAGAACAGCTTTTGTTTGTTGACGAAACGTCTAAGAACGGGCTTGATAGTATGCGACGGTATGCCTGGGCAAAACAAGGAGAGAGGGCAACTGTTCGTACACCATTTTTCCGTGGAGAAAGAGTATCTATCCTTGCGGCGTGTGATGTTAGCGGGCTCGTGGGCTGGCGTACAACTCGGATTACATTAAGCCGCGTAGAATTCCATCGAGCTTTTGTCGATGCCGTCCTACCGAAGCTGAACCCCTGGTCCCTGCCGCGGTCCGTTGTTGAGTTGGACAACGCTTGTATACACATGTATCCGGAGTTTGACGATGCTATTCACTCCGTAGGGGCGATTCTACCGTTTCTACCGCCCTACCCTCCGCAATTTAACCCCATCGAGGTCATGTTTGGACAGCTTTCCACACGAACAAATATGGGCTAGCTTCATCTCTTCCTCATGCGCCACTCGTTCATCAAGAGCCGACTCAGCCATCAACGCATTGATCACTTGAGCCGAAGTGGGAACTGGACGTACAGTCATTCCATCACGAACCACATAATGCTTTGAAAGTTGACGTACTACCTCTCGGTGAGTACGGGATACATGACCGAGTAGCGTCTCTGCATAATCTTCATCTGAAATACTATTGCCAAAATGATGAAGCCGGCAACGCAAAGTCTCCATTTGTCTTAGCCATTGCTCCATATTCTTATCAGGAGTGAAACGATTGACAG